CAGCAGCAAAAATAGCACAGAGGAGCAAGGTGATGGGAGGAAAGGCAGGTGTCTGGAGAGCTCTGCTGCGATCTTTCTGCTCCAGCGCTGGGCACCACGTTTGCTGTATGCTTGGAGAGGCTCCAGCAAGCAGCAGGGGTGGGGAGCTGATCTCCCTGGAAAAGTGTCACGCAGCCTGCCTGCTCCTCTAGGCCATGCTCCTTCCCAGCACTGGGACAAGTCCCTTCACAAAACCCCTGCTTTGGCTGTGCCCTTGCGTGTCCCCAAGCATGCAGGCATGTCCCACTTAGCCCATCCCCTTGCTGGAGGCAGGCTCCTGGCCCTGCACGGACACACGCTGAGGCGCAGGTACTGCACGGATCCATGCCCCCTTCTGTCGCTCTGTGCCAGGGGCAGGAATAACCCCAGCGGGGAGCTCCCCGCTGGCTTTGCTCCCCGTGTTCACAACCTGAACCTGGGCCAGCAGCATGCACACACCAGCCTGCCCTGCAGCCTTTGAAAGGGCTCAGAGCTGTCTGAATCCTGCTGCCCCTGTCAGTGTAAGCCAGAAGCTGGCCCTCATCCTTCACCCTCCATGTCCTCAACAACGTAAGGACCAGAAGACAGGCTTTCCAAATGCATGTCCTCCCCCTGTGCCATTAAAAACTCCCTTTGCAGGGGACCCCTGTCTTTCCTGCCTCATGGCACTTACCTCAAGGGGCCCTGGATGCTGATCATGCCCAGCTCCTCGGAGCAGTCCAGCAGTTTGCACTGGAACTTCATGTCCTGCAGCACCCTCATGATGTGTGACCAGTTGTGCTGAGCGACCGCACCACCGACAGCCAGGTAGTAGCCATCCCCTGCAAGAAACACCACCAGGCTTTTAGCCCTGAAGAGCCTCCGCAGGAGGAGAAAGCTGAGAGGAGGTTTTCTCAGCAGCTCGGGGCCTTGGATCCTACTTGGCATTGCTCTCCCAAGCAATGAGTACATTAATTCATTAAATCTCAACATTTAAACAAAGCTTTAAACCCCACCCCTCCTTTTTTTTTCCTTCCTTTTAATCATACCGACTTCACCCAAGGGAGACAGGTCTCCAAGCAAAACTGCAGCATGCAGACCTATGTCAGGGAGGGCATAACAAGCCTGTTGGCAAAAACCCTCAAATCTGAAGATAGTTGTGCCAGCAAGCCAGGGCTTTGGTCATGGATTGGGGATGTGATGTAACTATGATGTCAGAACCCTGCTTCTGCTGGCCCATGCTGCATTTCTGGTCGGGGGGCTCTGTCAATACACCTATCTTGACACATCAACGGTGGCAGCAGCTGCCTAAGTCTGTGTCTGGGGCTGTACTGCCTGCTCCAGGTACATTTACACCCCTGCAACATGGTAATGCAGTCAGAACGACAGCATTGCATGAACTTTCTTGGCAGAGGTGCCAATGGCAGGTGCCTGGCACAGAGCAGCAGGAGGATCGGGTCCCTTCTGCCTCTAGAAAACGGCTTCTCTGAAACTCAAATCACCCAGCTCTTCCCCTCGGGGTGATTACTCTGGTGTTATGCAAGCAAGCACTTTCCTCTGACTTGGCCGCAACAGGTTTGTATAATGCAGACTTCAGCTGCGTGCCTTCGAGTTGCCTCCTGCATGTGTCTCTTTGCTTCCTACAAGGGATCTGCTGAATTCCCAAAGCACCAGCTCGTACTCTGCAAATCTTCCCCAGGAGGCACTCCCATCCGCTTCAGCAAAGATGCCTGTTCCTTGGGGCTTGCAATACTGGGCAGCTCCTCATGGCAAATGCCTAGAGCCCTGGGGAATTTTTCCAACTATTTGAGTTGGTCTAATAAAAGATATCAGATTCACCCAAAGAACCTTGTCTGCCTAGATCCCTGGAAACAGTCTGCAATATCTTTTAGCAAAGACCCTGGGCAGCTACCACACTCTTAGCCAGTTGGCCTTCCCGCAAAGGAAAGGACCCTGACCTGGAGGACTTTGGTGATGCTGAACCTGGAAGCCAGAGCAATTTATATACATGCCATGGACAACTGTATGCCTGATATCCACTCACTGGATGCACTGACAGATTCCCCTGTGGACTTGCAGAAATGTTCTAGGTGGAAAAAGGAAAGTCCTGGTAGGGGACACTCAGTAGAAAGGTAGCTGCCATGCCAATGTCCCCTGGCCCACGCTTTGCAGCTTCAATGCAAAGAGACATGAAAAGAGGAGGAAACAAAAGCTGCTTCTGGAGGAACACTGCAGTCAAACTTTCTGAGTTTCCAAGGGAGGACAGCGCAGGTCCCAGTCCTAGAGCATCTCCTCAGGAGGGACATCAAGCTCCAGGCTGGATCCCTTGCTGCTCTGCACCTCGTGGAAAGGCTGGATGTGGGAAACGAGTCGTCCAGCTGGCAAGTGGTGTGACCAGCACAATGTAGGAGTTGCCTATAAGCTGATGGGAGGCTGGGAGGAAAAAAGGGGCTGCACCACAAAGCCAACATGGTCAGTGTAAAAAAAAGGAAACCCTGCTCCTTGCTCCCTCTCCCACTGACCCCAGGCCTCACTTCCAGAAGCAGTCGGACCTTGTGGGCTGCAGACGGGAGCCTGGGAATCACCCTGATTTCTGCTGCAGTCATGTCAGATCGGGGAAGGGCAGCGGATTTCATTTTGTCAGTAATACTGAGAGGGGAGGGAAAAAAAACCCGGCCCGGGGAAGGGATCTGGGAGCTGATTAATGCTCCATAATCGATCCTCCCTCTGCCTTTCCTGCCACTACAAAACCGCACTCCAGTAATCTGTCATAACGATAATAAGTGCAGCCACCTACTGTAATTGAAAAATAGATCTGCTTTTATTAAACTCCTCCATCACCCATCAAACGTAGCAGCTCTGCAATCCGCTTCCCTTCACATTTCCTGCTTAGCATGTGTGTGTGTGCATGTGCGTGTATATGTATGTGCAAGTGTGCATGCATGTGCATGTATATGTATATGCAAGTGTGCATGCATGTGTGTTTGTGTGCACGTTTGTGCATGCATATGTATGTGTGTGTGTGTGTGTGTTTGTGCATGCATGTGTGTGTGTTTGTGCATGTGTGTGAGCACAACAGAGAAAGAGAGAATTTAATGTCTGTGAAAGGCAGAGAGGAATAGTGCTGGTTTCTGCCAAGCAAGGGCAGGCCAGCGTCAAGGAGGCATCTGTCACCATCTGTCACACAGCTCAAGATGCCCCCTCCCTCCTCTGCTCCGACTGGACCCCTCTCCTGACCCAAGACTTCTCCATACCCAGAGCCTGACCCACGTGCTGCTAGCAGGACTGAGGAAGACAAGTGGATGTTGACCGCCAGGTTATCTTCTCTCAGGCCTGGGGTCCAGGAGTCACCTCCCATGTGTGTTCCTCCCTTAAGAGGGGGAGCAGGGGCATCATTAGCAAACAGACGCCCATTAGGACAAGGCAAGGCAGTTTGGTGGAGCCAGCTTGGGCACGCTGCTGCCCTCCTCCACCGCAGCTGCTTAATGCCATTAGCGGCCTCCAGGCTGATTGCTCTCCTCCTTTCTAATTCCCCTTTATTGCAGCAGATAAGGACTGCAGGAGAGGTCACGGCTGCCATTCAGAGCACCAATGTCTGAATGAAACCCAATAAAGCCAATAAGAACCTGGTTGGTTTACAAGCACCCCGGGGACAAGGAGAAGCGCTAATCTGGTTACATCTACTGATAGCTGTGGAGGAAGGGGGGGATACCAGGTGGCTAGAATTAGGTAACCCAATCATCCTCCATGCACTGGCCAAGAGCAACACGATTCCCTTCCCAGGGTTATAATTAAAGAGACAATGTCAAAGTTGCCGAGCCTCTTATTGAACCTGCGGCCACAGTTCCCCCCGCAGCTCCCCATCCGTAATGCGGATATCATTGCACCGGGTTTCCAGGCTTGCTACGCTCCTGGCTTCTCAATAGGCAGGTCCACCAGGCACCGACCGCAGGACCCCATCCTGCTCCTGGCCACTGCTTTTGGCAGCACTGAGCTGAGCGAGGCTGGCAGGAGCCTTTTTTTCAGGAGGGGCATTTGGGCTCCATGAAGGAGCAACTCTGCTTTCATATTAAGCAACATGACAGGGAGCTAGAAGGCTGCCAGCATATATCCCCAGCACCCAGCCTCCACCGAGCACAGAGCAATGAGCTGCAAGCCTCTGCGACTCTCCCTGCCCTATAGAGGTTCGATCCTTGACACATGCACGGCAGTGAGGCAGGAAACCTTGCTCAGTGGCCTAGGCTTCTCCATGTTATGGCCCTAAGGATGGGGATGCGGCAGCTGCTCAGCACAGTACAGGTAGACTAGCCAAGAGCTGGGGATTGGAGCTGAACAAAAACACTGGCTCACCTTTCAAACTCAAAGAAGGAATTTTGACCCAGCCAAAACTACCCGGCGGCCCAAATACATGCCATGGGAAGCATAGGATTATTGCCCAGGGTTTTACCTTCAAAAGCTGGAGCCAGGGAGGCCTGGCTCCCAGGACTGATTCGACTGACAGTCAGGTCGCTCTCAACACCACCGCGGTTGTTCAACATGCATGTGTAAACGGTCGATCCTAGAAACAGGAGAGAGCCGCTGGGGATCAAAACCTCCTGACAGCAGCTAGCAGTTGCAGTGTTGCGGGGTCGGGGGGACAAATCCTGCAATGCAAACTTCCCACTCACTAATGAGTCCCCTCATCATGCGAGCACGCTCGTTAGTCCTTAATGTAAAACAAGGGAATCGTAATGCTGTCGTGTGCCCACCCCTTCTCGCAAAGTTCCCCAGCGGAGGCATGCTCCGTCCTCGTGGGGCTGGGCCTCTCGCTAACAGACGGCGCTGATCGCCTTGGAGCCGTAGGGTGAGAACAAATGCGGACTAGACAGTTTGAGCAACTAGCTTTTCCTTTGAGGTTAAGGTCAGGATTCTGAGCCATCCCTCTGTAAAGGAAAAGGTTAATGAGCTAACAAACAGCAACTTCACCTGCTCAAGAACACAGCTCAGCTGGGTATGCACATAAGATAAAGGCGACCTGTTGGGAAGCTGAGGGAACCGAGATTTAACAAGGCAAGCGAGGCCTCTGGAGGTTATCAAATGGCAGGAGGCTTTTAGCCCCAGATTAGAAATAAAGATTAAGAGCCCGAGGTGTAGCTGGTATGAATCAGCGCAGCTCCCCTGAAGCCCTGGTCGCTGTGCCTATTAACGCCAGCTGCAGGTGGTGGCTTTGCATCCATCTGCAGGTGGGAACTGCATGTAAGCAAGGGACGACCAGCTGCACGGGACAGATGTCCTTTGTCCGTCAGTTTTATGCTACTATTATATCTCTTGGACTTCAGGGGGTGATTCGCAATTTGGCTGGGGTGATATGATCCTGGCACCCCTTCCTGCCTGGGGCATGGGGTCGGACCTGATGATCTGTTTAGATCCCTTCCGACCCTAAGTACTATGATACTATGAATTTGTGTTGTGCAGGAGACATCAGAGCTCCCGAATGATCCAGAGTCTGTCACCGCTACCTATTGCAGCCCGGTCTGCTGCCCAGGTGTGCATTCGCACCTGGGCTTTGAGAGCCAGGTCTCACCTCACTTCCTCCTGCTTCAGAAGTCCCCGGGTTTACCCTGTGTAAATGAGATCTGAATCCAGCCCTCCCAGCAGGCAGAGAGAGCCTTCCACCTCAAATGCTTTCAAACATCCTCAGCGAAAGCAATAATTAAAAAAAAATGACAGTTCAGGCCACAGCGCTTGTTTTGATTAAATATATAATTTTCTGGGGTGACCTTTTTGTACTGTGCTCAGCAGAAATATCCACAAAGCGGGCATTTTCGGAGCTGAAATAACAAGGTTGAACCCGTACCTGGCGACTTGCTAATGTCAGCAGTAAACAGCCAGTCGGCCGCCTTGCTCGCCTCTGGACCCACCAGGTAGAATTTGCCGAAATAAGACATGTCAAAGACGGCCACCGCATTTCTGCAGGTTAAGCACTCCTTCTTGATCTAAAATTAAAGCACACGCAAATGAAGCGGCACCGTCTTTTCTTGCTCCACAAAAGGAATCATCCAGGCAAATTAGAAGCGTTTATGTAAGGAGACAGTGGAAACAATAAGAGGACATGTAACTTGGTGCTTTCTAAGCTTTCTGTAGTGCTTTTAAAGGCTCCTTTAAAAATAGGTATTCAAATGCAGCATCTCTAATGACAACACCGCCCCGCTGATCCAACTCCTTCAATCAATAGCATATCTTCGGAGACTGGTGCTATCCTGTCGAATTAGTTGTTATTTCCCTATAAGATTAATCTCCCAACAACCCGCCAGATGGGTTTAGCTCTGACTCCCAGTTCTCTCATTTTGCAGCAAAGAAATACTAGAGTTTTAAAAAGGGCTCTTCGTTCTGCGTCTGCTCTGAGGTCCTTGTTCAATTGGTAGGAGGACAAATTTAAACTTTTCTCATGCTTTCTCTCGACTCTTCAATTTGGGAGGACAGCAGTAAAACTCCTTCTGGATGCTTTTTTGATGTTTCCGAGCATGGACAAACGTGGGGCTGGTTTCCATATTTCCAAACCTTACCTGCTGGGTTTTGCAAAACCAAAGCAACAGGGGTTTGTATCTGCATCTCATTTGTCTCACCCGACCCAAACCTTCACAGGCTGTGCATGTCATTTTTAGAGCAACAGTTCTGTTTTTTATCTCGCTTAAGTTTTCCCCGTGTGTTTCTCCGATAGCTCAACAAGGAGCTCTTTTTTGAAATGCTCAGCCTGCTGTGGACTCATGCCTCCAAAGAGAAAGCTGTTGGATGTGCTTGAAAACTGATTATTTTGATGGTGAGTGCCTTGAAAGTCATGCGTACACCGGCCCCATGAGATGTTCCATGTTTTTCACAATGCACCGTGGCGTGAAATTTATCCCGTAAACAGGGGCCAGCAAAAAGATTTAGGCACTACTTAAACTAATGGACCAGAATGGATTCCACTTGAAAAGTTATGATGCTTATTGAGCATTTATACAACCCTGCAGTTATGTCTAGTGTCTGATAAAGCAAAGATACAGTCCCTGTTCCTGATTCCTCTTAGCCCAATAAAGCGGTGTGAACCAGCTGTCCTGTGATAAAAGAGATGAGATCTCCAGATAGGGAGTCCATCGACGTCTTTGCTACTTACAGTGTTGTGATGAGGTGGGAAATCAAAGGTGTATTCATTCCCCAGCAGGTGGTTATAGGCATAGGCTTCATGAGGCTTTTGGTCGTAAGCACCGTAATAGTCATAATCCAAAATCTAAAAATAAAGTGGGGAGGAAAGAAAGACAATGAGGAAATACAACCCACCGTGAAGTCTGGGGAAAGGGCAGAGGGGACTTGGAGCAGGTCTGGGCAGCAAATCAGCTTTTGCTTTCCAAGTGATTTGGATGGGATTTTGACCGTATTCAGCCCATACCTGGAAAGCAGATCATGGCAAATCCCCCTCGCCCTCCCTTTTGAAATACAAAGGAGTTCAGATCTGAGGTTCAAGCTGATCTGCTGGTTGTGAACACACACACACACACACACCCTGAAACCAAACTACCCCCTGTTTCAATCACCAGCCTCCCTGTACCATTCACCAGGGCTCCATCGCTTTACCCCACGGTGCTGACGTTTGAAATACTGCCGTGCTTACGGGAGCTGCTCCTTGTGTGTTGAACCAGCCAGGTCTCTCCCAGCCGTGTCTCTCCTGGAACACGCAGCCTTGCTGTAGCAGCTCCTTTGCAAGAAGGGGACAAAACACATCCTATGCATTAGAAAAAGCTGGGCGATAAGCACCTGATCACACTGGCCTCCGTCCAGTCACTTCCAGGCTGTAGCCATTAAATATGGATTCAAGGGTAGACCCCATTGTGAAAGGGCATCTATTAGTTGTTGCATAACATGGAGTTTGCCTGGATGGCTAGGCTCCAGCCTGGCACAAGCTAATGCAGCCTACAGCAGGTGCTATAATCAGGGCCTTACAATCATTGCTGGTATAACAGCAGATACCCTTAATATCCCCATAACAAACTTATTCTTTGATCCAACTGGGGTAAGTTATTCGTCTGACTACTACCCTGTAACAAGGAATTGCACAAGTCCATCATGCCAAGTTCATGTCACGTAGCATCAGTTATGAATTGACTGACAACAAGCCAGATGTTCCCCACAACACGGCCCCAATACACATGTCTACAATGGTAATATTAACAGCGTTTAATATTTAGATGGCCCTTTTGTGCCTCCACCTTCCACAGCCCAGACCTGCACATAGTAATTAGGTGGGCCACGGGGATATATTTGTTTTGTGTTTATGTTCAAAAGAATAGTTTTTGTTGAATATTTTAGAAATGATTCACCTCTATTTATAAAACATAGCACATGTTCTGGAGCACTGTGTATAAATACCAGGCTGTCAGTCAAACAGGCATCACTTATTAGGCAATCTATTAAAAAGCTGCATTCTCGGTAACAGAACAACTGAGCTGTCAACTGAAAGGGGGAACAAGGAAAGGGGGGAAAGTCCATTTTGCTGCTCATATCCCTGCTCTGCACTGGGGAAAGAAAGAGGAAGGGAAGGGGAAATGGTGTCACCTGAACTAACAAGCTGAAACTGGCTTGGGAAACCTGTTTTTTTGATTCAGGCCTTATTCAGACTGGTAGGAAAGCAAATGGACCCAGAACAGTGGAAACAAGACTGGCATCCAGGAGTGAGTCTGAAAATCAGGACTCCTGTCAGGGCACTGCAATTTAAACATTTGGGTCACAAGTAACCTTATAGTTTCATAGTTTCATAGTTTTAGGGTCAGAAGGGACCTAATAGATCTTCTAGCCCGACCCCCCGCCAGGGCGGGAGAACAACAAAAGAACCCTAAACAAAAAACGGGACTCAAATGAGTCCAGCCAGGTAGGTATCCAGCCTCTTCTTAAAGATCCCCAGGGTAGGGGCCAGCACCACCTCCCTTGGAAGTTGGTTCCAGCTCCTAGCCGCCCTAACTGTGAAGTAGTTTTTTCGGATGTCCAATCTGTACCTCCTCTCCATCAACTTGTGCCCATTACTCCTTGTTATGCCAGCGGGGGCTAGGGTTAACAGCGTCTCCCCCAAACCCTTCTGGTTCCCCCTAGTGAGTTTATAGGCGGTCACCAGGTCCCCCCTCAGCCTTCTCTTGTGGAGGCTGAATAGGTTCAGGTCCCGCAGTCTCTCACTGTAGGGTCTGCCCTGTTGTCCCTGGATCATGCGGGTGGCCCTCCTCTGGACCCTCTCCATGTTGTCCACATCCCTCCTGAAATGGGGCGCACAGAACTGGACACAATACTCCAGCTGCGGCCTGACCAGCGTCGCATAGAGGGGGAGGATCACCTCCCTGGCTCTACTCGAGATGCACCTGTGGATGCACGACAAGGTCCGGTTAGCCCTGCCAACCATGACCTCGCATTGTCGGCCCATGTTCATCTTGGAGTCAATAATGACACCAAGATCCCTTTCCGCCTCCGTGCTCTCAAGTAGGGAGTTCCCCATCGTATAAGTGTGCTGCTGGTTCCTACTACCCAAGTGCAGCACCCTGCACTTGTCCGTATTGAAACACATCCTGTTCCTGTTTGCCCACCCCTGTAACCTATCCAGATCCTTCTGCAATCTCTCTCTCCCTGCTAGCGTGCTCACCTCCCCCCAAATTTTGGTGTCATCAGCGAATTTAAACAGGTTGCTTTCCACCCCAACATCAAGATCGCTGATGAAGAAATTGAACAGCGCAGGCCCCAGGACCGAGCCCTGGGGGACTCCACTACCCACCTCCCCCCAAGTCGAGTATGATCCATCCACCACCACCCTCTGAGTGCGACCCTTCAGCCAATCTGCAATCCATCTGACTGTGTAGGCATCTATGCCACAGTCGCCTAGTTTATTAATTAGGATGGGGTGAGAGACGGTGTCAAAGGCCTTGCTGAAGTCCAGAAAGACTACATCCACCGCGACACCTGCGTCCATGGCCTTTGTGACCTGATCATAAAAGGCGATCAGGTTGGTCTGACATGATCTCCCCCTAATAAATCCATGCTGATTGCCCCTGAGCATCATTTCTGATGCCGGCCCATCACAAATGTGCTCCTTGATGATCTTCTCAAAGAGTTTCCCCAGGATTGAGGTAAGACTGACGGGCCTATAGTTGCCCGGGTCCTCCCTTTTCCCTTTCTTGAAGATGGGGACCGCATTAGCTACCTTCCACTCGTCTGGCACCTGGCCCAAGCACCACGATCGCTCGTAGAGCCGTGCCAGGGGCCCTGCAATAACCCCAGCTAGCTCCCTCAGCAACCTGCTGAAGAACGTACAACAATGCATCGTCCAGAAGCTCAGATAGCATTTCCCTTACGGAAAACTGAAGAGCATTTAGCACAGGTTTAAAACCTGTGCCAGGGAGGCCCAGACCAGGTCAAGCTCCAGGCTATTTAAACGTCTGTCTCTCTCTTTGCCTCAGCCCCTTGGTCGTCTCATGTTTGCAGGGTATGCGAGTACTTCCTTTCCTTTTTCATGCCCTCGTGACAAGGTATTTAGCAGATTCACTGGAATCCGGCAGGGCCGGCCCGTGCCGTAAGTGTTTCTGCTATGACCCCAAATTGCAACCTCCGGGCTGTCCGCCATGTGCCTTAGACCCCACGCGAGTGCAGCGGTGAATGATAAGCTGGCCATAGCATGGTACCAATCCCTCGAGACAGACCAGAGAGGAAAAATGAATGTCATCTTTGCAGACCTGCTTTGAGAAACCTTCCTTTTGGAGCTGTTCTGCTACCACATCCTATCAAGGTCGTGTTCAGCTCAAGCCAAGCCGGCGTGGTGTTTCCGAAGGATTCAGAGGTAGTCACAGGCAGGCCGGGAACAGAGAGCCTTGTAATCTGCCACACGCCACTAGCCTGCTATTAATACAGCGCCATCTGCTTAAAAAGCATCGCTCTCCCACACCGCAAGCCCCGCGCGTCACTCAGCGAGGCTGGCGAGACAGCCAGGGAGAGGGCTGGATTTTAACGAGCTCCATCCCAAGGTGGTTCAACCACCTGGGATCCTTTGGAGCAGCTGGGGGAGGAAGCAGGAGACCTGCAATCACTCTGAGCAGGATCTCACCTCCTGGCATATTTCTCTATCTGTCCTACAGCGGCACCAAACCAACCCCAGGACAACGTTCGGCACTAGCCATGCAAGAGATGGCTGCATAGCTGCTGTATTTCATGGAGTTGTGCCTGCCCATGCTGACGGTGCACCTGCAGTCCTGGGGTAGCCCTGCTTCCAGTCTTCCCCTTTCTCAGCAAGTAAGTTGTAGGTTTTTTGTGCTGCTTAATAGTTCCCCTGGAAGCCAAATGAGAAACTGCTGTTACAGATCCAGGGCCATCAATTGCTGCGGATTTGCATGAATGAGGACATGTTGATGGACAAGCTTTGGTTAGAGAGATCCTGATGCCCGGCTCCCTCAAGCCATCCCTTCCCACAAGGGTCGGCCCCCTGACCTCGTGCAGTGGGTCTTTCCTCATGTTGCGTCCGGCCAGCGGCTCGTCATATGGGAAGACGACCGAGTAGTTCTTGGCGTACGACTCGTGGCTTCGCTCCCGTATCCAGCGGTTGTTGTTGGTGAGAGAGTGGTGAAATCTCCTGAAAGGCAAAGAGGAAGGAGCCTTCAGGAGCAAAGCCATCAATGTATCACCCACCTCCCATCAAAAGGAAGCTGACTGCTTGGCTCACCGGAGTCTCCGGCTGAAATGACAGCCCCCATTGTGTTGAGAGCTGTACTTGCACGTAGTGAAAGACAGCCCTGGCTGCCAAGAGCTTGCAATCCAAGTAGATAAGGGAGCACACCCTAAGCATACCCCACATTGCAAGCTCCCAGCCTCCTGGAGACGGATGTCAGGGCAATTTGAGGGAAGGCATAAAGAGGGCATGGGGCCGGAGCGCACTGTGATACAACTGTTCTCTATTTTCCAGGCCCTACAGGCAGCAGAACTGAAGTCACAGTGTTATAACCTGGCTGATTACCAGGTATAAGACTCTTGGGCTCTGTGTAGGCTCCTTGATGGTAGCATTGGCACTGCCCTGAGCCCAACAGGAAGCTTCTTGGCACTCTGTGCTAAAACCTACGTCTTGACCAATGACCAACCTCTGTCTTGACCCTTGCTTTTTCAGTCTTGGCACTCAAACCCCACAGTTCTGCATCTGCACTTCAGTTATAACCATTAGTACCTCTGGTATTTCAGCCCTGGCTCCCCATAATGCACCTGTCACACCTCAATCCCTTCCTTTCACCTGGAACATGGTTTGTCCATAAAGATACCGGTTATGAGCGGACACCCTGCAAGAACGTCCTCCTGGCTGGAGCAGCTGGGAGGTCTCTCCGTGCAGCTACTCGGGAGCAGGGCAGCGAGTCTAGGAAGCAGGAATAGGAATCCTATGTCGTGCAACCTTACCGGGAGCGTTTCACCCCTCTTCACACAAACCCCGGCTCTCATCCTGCAAAGATCCGCTGAGAGATGGGAAATGTCAGCAGCGCCGAGATAAAACCAGCCAGGACTGGTGAACGAGGGAGGTAAAAGGCAGAGAGAACGCTCCTTTGCTTTTCATCGGTATAAAGGTCCCAGTTCAGGTACACAGTCAAGTCTCATTGATTTCAAGGAGAAATAATCACTTGTTTAAAGGGTGTCCTGACTCAAATGTGAGCACAGCGAGCTGAGGGGAAGCCCCGATTGACACCTGGATCTTTAAAGACTGAGCAGAGCCCCCTCAGCCCTTCCAGCAGTCCTGCCAGCTCTGACTTTCTCTCCAAACCCTCTGAAATGCTGGCAGAAGGCGGGGAGAGCAAGGGTGGGTTGGTCGGTTTTATATAACCCTGCTGCTTTGCTTGAACAGAACAGCAATTAGCATTTAGTTCTTGCTGCTCAGGAGCTAACAGCATTGCAAATGCCCACTCTGTGTTATATCACCAGAGATCAGCTCCAGCTGCGGGACTGGAGCCTGGGTGCTGAGTTCCCACACGGCGGGGCAGGGGTTGGCTCGTGTTTGCTTTGGGGCCCTTTGGAAAAGAAGAGACATTCTGCAAAAAATGCTGATTGGAGCTGGGATCTCAAATGCCCTCACTCTTCCTTGTCTCTACCACAAGCCCCGATTGCTTTTTCCTCTAGACCAATATGCTACAACCTGGATACCTTGCTTGTCCTGGACACACACATCTGGGCTTTGTTCTCCACTCCCCTTTCCAGTGGTCAGCACAGACAGCAACTGAACGAGCGGTGCGTTCCCCGTGGGTTTGTGTGCATGGCAAGGAATATGTGGGAGGACATCCGCACAGTGAGGTTTCATGGGTCCACCGAGGCGCAGCCCTGAATAGCAATGACTACCACTAGTGCCACCCTTTTGGGGCCTGTGCAGAGCAAAGGGCATGGCTTCCAGAATTAGTTAACATGGTAAAATTTAGCCAGTGAAATGGGATAGCCCCAGCTCTTCCCCTCTCCCCTCACTAAGCTGCACATCTAGCGCCCTGTGCAAAGAGGACTTGCTCTAGAAGCCAAACCAAAATAAAGAAGGATCAACCCTACTGTATTCACTACATCCCCACCCCAGCGGAGTGTCTCTGCAAGCTAACATTGCCTGCGTAGAGCGTCAGATCCTCCATAGATCTGAGAGGAACACAAGCATTAAGCTCCAACTTCTCACATCAGCATCACTATGCAATAAGGATGCTCAGCTCATTGAAAGGGGTAGGACAAACTCCAGAGCCCATGAGACGCCTGATGCACATCTCCCAAGCAATGCACCTAAACACAGTTTTTAATGGCTCCTGTAAAGTCTCCTTCCAGATGCGAGGGACAAGGAGCAGGAGGAATGCCATCCAAGTGAGACATGGGAAAACTGGCGGGTCCTCCTTGCTCACAACTAGGACTTAATACACATTGTGATCGGGGTAGAGGTGATGCATTCTCCCAGCCTATCTGGCCAGCTCTTTACTACGTGGTGCTCCGACCATCATCAGAAGAGTGCACGGAGGATCGTTGTGTTGTGTACCTCGTCCAAAGTAATAGCAAACTCCCAGTCTCAGCTGGTGAGAATCAATGCAGCACCAGTGAATTCACTGCTTGTTGGCATTGCTGTCCCAGGTCTGACAGCATCCTGAGCCGGACCGTCCACCTTCCTGCACCTGGCATGGTCGCTGCTGCTTGGGCAGGACAGATGCCGTTGTCCATCACCCTACACATTTCCACCAGGGAAAAAGGAGCATTAAATGTCACCATCCGTCACGCTGAGCACAGAGTAACCGCAAGGTGCCCAGCAGTAATCAATTAGTTCTCTCCCAGTATAAATGCATAGAGACTGGGGACCAGTCTCTATGGTTTCCACAATGCGCCCCACGGCAGCCACCTCAGCACAGGACTAGGCTAGCCTTAGTGAGAGACTGGGCAATGTACTGAACAAGGCTTTTTCGACTTCCAAGTGGTTCTTCTCAATTCCCGCGCATTTTGTCCTCATTATCCTAAATTATCAAATGCCATTGAAGCCTCAAGAACAACCTATGAAGGGGATGATGATCTAGGCAGTAGCCTCAGACGCTGCTACATGTTACCTCCATCAAACACGAGCGGTCCGGGAGAGCAGAGAGGCAGTTTGGGGACAAGCAGGACAAACATGGGGAAGGCAAGATACAACCTCAAAGGATCTGTTTGTCAACTCCCCTCCACCCGATCTAAAAATCACTTATTGCAAGGAAAGCAAATGCATGCCACATTATACAGTCAACGTTCTGGGTGCCTGAATATACATCAGGGCTTCGAAAAACAAGTGCATAATTGGCTCTGACTAATGCATAAGTGTCTGGGAGGCAAAGTCCCAGCTGTACCGAAACGTAACAAGTATGTGACACAGTCTCCTTTTAGCCAGTCCCCTAAAGGATAAAAGCCTTCTACTGCAGGCAGCTGAAGGGATTCCTGCTTTAGCTCAGGTTTTGTGACAACGTGCTGCAAAGTCCTAGATTTAAACCCACTGCTGAGCCATGCGTGCAAGCAGCTAATTGTTACTTTTCTAAATCTCTCTTTTAACCTAGTTTTTTTCCAATGGGGAAAGTAAAGCACTGAGAAAGGAAGGGCCTTTCTTAAATTCACCCAGCAGACCAGCAGCTGAGTGGAGAGAGTATAGAGTATAGGTCTTTTAGGCAGAGTCCTGTGCTGTAGGCACTGGGAAAGCTCTGCTTCCCTGATTTCCATGGTCTGCGATGGTGAATTTGCACCAGAGAAGGGAGATGCTAAATTTGATTCTGTGTCCCGCTTCCAGACCTTAAGAAAACAAAAGGTGAGACACTGCCTGTGGATTGTGCTGTACCAAATCAAATGGCAAAAGTCACAGCAGGGACAACGGGCCAAACTGCAGGCCAGCCCACACCTCAGGCCATTGGGATGTGCAGTGAGTTCCCCCAGGGTTGGTTGCCGGCAGCCTGCACAGACCAAACTCCTGGATGCAGATTTACACCCTTGGAGCTGAGTCCCAAATATGGCCCCATGGAGGGGGGAAAGGAGACTTCAGGCAAATTGAGCTGGCCTCTTGCACAACGCTGCTTTAAACACAACCCTGCACAAGTCGAGAGCCATGGACATTCTTCACATTGTTCATCCAATTCTCCCCAGACTGAAATATAAATAAAACCCAAAGCATTTTAAATTTGTTTGACATATTTTCATCTCTTAAACAGAAAACCTCCTAGCAGGAGTGTGCCAGTTCAGCACATGCTCATATTATTATTAACAGAGACCTATAACTCATGGACAATAACCTCCCTCTCTCTTGGTGGTGGCACCTTTCCCATCCACTGATCTTGGCAAGCAGGGACGCGTTTTTCAGAATTACAGCAGGCTTCCTTCCAGCCCAAAGCCCCCAGTTCTGGAGCAGGAGAGCCAGACATCGGGCGAACGGCAAGACAAAGTGTAATTTATTAGGCCCTTTAAAACAATATTTTCAACTTTCTTCCCTGTTCTCTTCCTGCAGAGGAGACGCAGGACACTTGGAAAAGGGCAGAGCTGAGCACAGCGACAAGAGGAAAAGGCTCTTTGCTTAGAGATGGGCCCCTCTCCCCCCTCTTGCCATCCTAGGACCCCCGAATGCGGGAGACTCCCCCCACAACAAGAAAGGAAACCAAAAGACCGAGAGCAACCGTGGACGTCAGGCAGGTCAGCTCCTTGAGCCGCACGAGGTATGGAGATCCGGTATTCAATCGCATGTGCGGCTCCCCCAGCTGCCACCTTCAAAAGCCCCTGCCCGTTGAGCAGGAGGGTGACTTTGTGATAGACACAAGAGCAGTAACAGCTGCCAGGTGAAATATTTACCAGCGAGCATCGTGAAAGGAGCCATGTTTGCATGAGTGGAACAGGGAGATATTGGAAGAGGAACTTAATAAGAAGAGGAACGACAAGATCTGCAACAGAAGCAAATATTGACCCAGGTCTGAAACCCAGAAAACACAAAGAAGCCAAGCAAAGGGCTGGGGAACCAGCTGGCAGAGACAGAAACCGGCACAGAGCAAGGAGGCGCAGTCTGCAGAAAACCCACAGGAGCTCTGCACAAACCTGCCCAGGTCTGCTCCCCGCCCCCCCCAAAACGTGGGGTAATTGTGCTTGACTTCAGACATTTCTCTCAGCCCAAGCTATGAATATATGAATTCATAAAAGTGACCTGTGAGTTTGCATCACATTTGCTGAACAGATCAAACTGAGCCGAAAACAAAAGAACTGCGCTGATTTTTTTCAAATGCCAAAACATTTCCATGCATTAGGGTTTTTGGTTGTAGCCGTGTTGGTCTAAGGACAAGGTTCTTTGGGTAGACGCGAGATATTTTATTAGACCAACTCAATAGCTGGGGAAAAAAATTTTTTTGCAAGGTTTCAGGCACAAACGCCCTTCTTCAGGCTCACTCTCTCTCCCTATGCCTGAAGAAGGGTGTTTGCACCGGAAAGCTTGCAAAGAACAATTCTTCTAATGGTTTAGGTGGTCTAATCAGAGATGTCACGTCTACCCAAAGAACTTTGTCTGCCTAAAACGTGCCTATTGCTTGTTTCACTAATTAGCTGTATTTAATGTTTGAAAACAGGTAGAAAAGAAAAGAAAAGAAAAGAAAAGAAAAGAAAAGAAAAGAAAAGAAAAGAAAAGGGGAGGGGGTGAGTAGAAACAAAATGGGCTTTCCTTTTAGGAGCAAAAAATCAGATACGTTTTGTTTTGAGTTGAACCAAAATGTGTCCCTTCTCTGACTTTTTGCATCATCCAGAGAGCCAACAAATAAGCTATTTGCCCTTTTTCTCTTCTTCTTACAGGCTCGGGCAGCTGTGCTATTCTTTGCTTCCTGTGCAGCGTCGTTGTGAATGTTCGAACACCTACCACCTTTCACTCAGTTGTGGCTGTACATCAGTGGTGGGTGAAGTGATGCACAGACACATATCCATGTTGTGGAAAACTCATCCTCCACGTAGCTCCCCCGAAGCCGGAAGAGTTACGTGACGTCCCGAATGGCGATGTGGTAAAGTGCCAGGGGATCTATCGAGATGAAAGCTTCCGTCTTTGATGCTGGATTAATTACTACTATGTCTAAATGTTTCTGCTTACTCTTTCCGTTGCTGCTAACATACAGACACAGATGTCTGAGCAGGCAGCTGTCAACCAAGGGACTGGGAGGATGAGGAGGAGATAAAGGCCAGAACTGAAATCCATAAAGAGTAAAGACAGCATCTTCAGCAAACCTGAACCTGCCAAAGCCCAGAAAGCTTGGATGTGAATCACATGCCCTACTGAGACCCAGACTCCATCCAGGAGCTGTTATAAGGCACACATAAGAAGGCAGAGACAAGACAACATATGAACCTCAGGTGGAGATGTAGCTCCTCACTGTAGGATGCCGGCAGATGGACACCTGCAGTTCGCAAGAAGAGCGCTGCACGAGAGGGGAAACGAGGACAGCAAGAAGGAATAAAGATGCACCATGGAGAGGGGAAGGAGGAGTGAGTTGAAATACAGGACCATGCATCTGGGGTTTCATAACTCATGCTCCTCACTCCGATACAGGTTCCTCCTACGGCCTTTGCCAAAACACTGACTCCTCTTCTGGATCTGGGGTTTCCCTCTAGTAGATGCAAACTGGGAAAACACCAGCATCGCTGGCATACTGTATATCATGTCAGTAATGTCCCCTGATGGGGAAGAACGCAACACAAGAAGGCGAAGCCCAGCCTTGTTGAAAAGCAGCTTCAGGGTTAGATGGCTCTCCTGTTCAACCAGCGTGAGATTGAGAGGTGGGCTTGCGAGGGTGGGAGTGCAGGCCGATAGGACGGGCCGCCAGTTTATAGCCGCCTGGGCGCTCCACATCCCTTCAAGGGATTTTCAGATCTGAAAAATCTCAGAGTGGCAGAGTGGGAACAAAGCTGCGATGCTCCCTTCTGGATCTTGAACCTCACAAAGCTTTTTGCTTGCGTGTCGCTCCTCTTGCAATGTTGCAGCAGGGGCCAACCTAGCAGCCCCTTTCATCAGGGAGCCGCAGAATCCCGAGGCACCGAATACGACACAGGACGTCTTTCTACTGGCCCCTACTGGAAGAAGGGACGGACGGCATTTGCCTGGTTCCAGGAGTTTCTGCTGGGCTTCCTCATATTGCAATGTGATTTGAAAAGCTTTGCCTCTGACAAGTTGCTGTTGGCATTGCACCTGTGAAAACCCAACCCCAAGAAAACCTGACGGAGAAAGAAAAGGTGATTACAGAGCCAGCGACGGCACGGTGCAAACCTCCCAGCCCCATCAGACTGCAGAAGGCGGAGGGGGGAAAAGATCATCTTTCTCCAATTGAAATCTTCACCTCGTTTATTAACTTAGAGGACTAGGCACGGTGCTAATTGAACAACAACAAAACCCAAATGTAATTACCCTGTCCTCTCTCGTCATTACAATCTCCTCGTGTCTGATGGAAGCTGTTTGCACGGAAACGGAATGAGGGAAATGAGATAAAACCAACATGTAAATTCATTAAAGCTATTAAGCGTAATTGATTCCAGCTCCTCCGAGACAGAGGCAGCTGCAGAGAGACCAACCCTATGTTCATAGAAAAAGTGACATTGGCCTCCCCGGACACCCGGTTCTGCCTAAGACCCCGTGCAAGCAAACCTGTTTTAGCAATAATGGTCCCAGTGTGGTTACAGCACAGCCTGAAAGCAAGAAGCTCCCAGCCATTCGCTCCAGGGCCTTGCTCTCTCAGCTCTCAATCCCACAGCATGAGACTACTGATCTGAGAAGCTAGACGAGCCACGCTAGAGAACAACCCGCTGCTGTCAGAGGCAGGTACAATCTACCTGGAGTAACCATATGACCCATAACAATACCTCACCTTAATCAGCAGGCCTCAAAGGAGGTCGGTATCACTGGTCCCCATTTTACCGATGGGGAAACTGAGGCACAGAGCTGGATCATGCAGCAGGTCAACGTGAGAGCTGGAAATAAGTGTCCCAGCCCAGTGCTCTCTGCAGTACACCGCCCTGCTGTGTTTGAGGTTGGACCCTGGCTCTCAGATGCCAAAGGGTGTGAAACTGGGGTGAAGGTAAGGGGCAGAAAGAGCCTTTGGGTTCCTCTTAGGACCGCATTCCTCCACCTGTTCAAGCATCGGGACAGACCCCAGACCCCAAATCCAGAAACGGATGCAGCCCTGGGAATGCAATCTGTAGTCCGCGCCAGCACCAAGCCAACTGTCTCGCTGTTTATAACCGGTAGGAAACTTCTCTGTTCCCAATGTGCTGCTCTGCGTCCCACCTGGCTGCACCGGAGGGAGATGGGAAGACCCTGGCATTGAGGCCAGGCCCAGGATATCACCTTGGGAAGGGGTTTTTTTTGGAAGCTGTTTCCTTACTTTGAGCCAAGCTCTAACTCCTCCACCCCATCAGAAACCTCTCAGCAGTGGGAACACAGCACACGCATTATCAGCACCAGGAGAGGCCCCTGATATGACCGCCTCTCCTTGCCTGCACAGACAAAGCCCCCACTTCTTGTGGGGCGCAAGGGATGCATTGCCGTCCTTCTGGATACAGAGCAAAGAGCAGCACACTGCCCCTTGGGCCTAAATGACCTAGTGGCTCAAACCACCATGCGCACAACTGGATTGCCAAAGGCCCTGATAATTCAGAGGTACTTGTAATTACGGCTACGACAACGGCACCAAAGGGCTATTCTCACAAAGCAGTGCTGCAAACTCTCACGCTTTCTCTATGACTCTCACAGTCATCGGTGCCTCCTTTAAAGCCCCAACCTTTTCGAAGCACGTGAACACACAAGCATCTGAGCTTTCAGTCAGATCCCACAATTCCAGCCTTCCTGGTTTCAGAGATGAGCATGGGCACGTGACCCAGCGAGCCCCAAATTTGCAAAGGCCAGGAGGGACAAACAACAAGAGCGCCAAATTCATTATGTTTAAGATAAGCCTGCCCCATGAGTTGGGTATCGCACGCTTCGAACACGCCTGTTACTGGTGAACGCTCGTATCCATCTCTAAAGCCGACCACCCTGGCAAAGAAGAACGGGATTCTCCATAAGGTGTTTCGCTGCTGCTGATGAAGATGCTGAGTGGAGATGTGGGTTCAGGTCCTTGCTCTGTATCTGGTCCTGCGCATGGCCTTGGGCCACGATACGCCATCTCTGCAGAAAGGGAATGCAATGCTGCCTTTCCCTTACTCTTTATCTATCTCTTCTATCTAGATTACAAGCTCTTTGGAGCAAATCCTGCCTCTTGCTGGGAACTTGTACCATGCCTAGCACAATGAAGCTGTCCTCTGGTTGAGCTTCGCTGCGGCCTACCGCTCTCTTCTACCCATCTCCCAGTAATGACGGGAGGCATTTCTAGCCCAACTCACCCAGGTGGAGATGCAGCTCCCAGCCCCTTTCAACCAAAGATGAGACCCTTTCAACCAAACCAGAACAAAACTCTTCTCCTAAACACACAGTTTCCTTTCAAATATATTTACAGCATTTAACAGGGACACAAGGCTTGGGGTGGGAATACGTGCCTGATATCATAGCCGTACATATCCTTTTCAGGACGCCCGTGAATAATCCAGTGGGCTAATTCCTTCCCGCAGCCACCTCCAAGCATCATTCCTGAGGGAGAAGAGAAAGGAGAGAGGGGTGCTGGTGACTCAGAGGATCTATTTGAGTTGCTCCGAATCTGCCGTATGTGCAAATCCCTGCTGAGGTTGACAGGAACCTTGCCTGGGAAGTGATGGCAAGATTAAGCCCTTATTGCCTCAAGCCAGAAGTATTTTACAATGGCCTTGATTGCACACCCCACAAAGTGCACTGGGCTAAAGGCAGGCACTTGGATTTATTTTTTTTAAAGGTCTTATCTTACCTGCACTGTTGAAGCCACAACCAAGGAAAAAGCCCCGAACTTCTGGCGCTTCCCCCATGAGAGGCTTATGGTCGGCTGTGAAGGATTCTGCAAGACAACAAAGACGACACAGCCCATCAGCCAAGCCATGAGCTCCCACAGCAATTCAAACAGGCTCTTTCCTACGTGTTCGACACTGGCTTGCTTCTGGTCCTGCCGTGCCAGTACTCAGCCTCCGGTCCTGCCCCCTTTGAATTTAAGATGCTCTTTTCATAGACTCATAGAAAATTTGGGTTGGAAAGGACCTCAGGAGGTCACATCGAGTCCAACCCCCTGCTCCAAGCAGGACTAGCCCCAACTCCATCATCCCAATATCATCGCTATATAAGCATTGCCATTGCAGGAACACCACCAGCCTGGCCCTTGCCATTAAAACTCCTCATCTGCGTGTTGCCCTCAGGGTATCCAGAGATCTCAGTGGTATTTGTCTTCCCCTTCGTACCAGGAGGATGGTTTCAAAAGAAGAGGCCTTCAGCGACATGGGTAAAGGGTGAACTTCAGGGGAATGCTCTACACTAGGGCATCCGTGAAGTGCAATGGATAATATGTCTCAATCTAATTAAATTAGCAGTTGCTCTCAGGCTTCCTCATTCCTCCAAGATCATTAGACT